ACAAAAATGATTTCGGTGCCATGAAACCAAGTAAACCCATGTATGATATAACAGTCCAGCTTCAGCACAAATGGAACTTTCCTTAAAGCAATAGAAAAAGACCGGAAGGAAAAGGAAAAAATGAATGTGGAAAGCGTAAACGGTATAAACATTATGTATTTTAGTATGAGAATGCAAAGAAACCTAAAAGTAAATCTGGTGGAGAGAAAGGTACCTTCAGTAAGTCAATCTCTTGCTGAAAATCATCATTACGTCCCACCAACAATTGAACAGCAAGAAAGGGAAAAAAAAAGGTCTAGTGAGGGCAATTGAATATGATCAAGGAAAATATATTAAAAAGGAAAACAAAGCCGACTACCACACTTACATGAAATTTCAACTTATATGATACTAGTGCCTCAAAGAAGAATTCATCTAAAATACCACAGAGTAATGACTTCACAATACTACTAACGTATCTGAACTTGACAGACTTGGAATTACATTTAGTTGATACTTTTGCATTAAAAAAATCATAACTATTACTAATACATCCCGGAGCAATGAGTGCATGGAATAAAAAATTTTCCATCGATCAAAGAACTCAACATCAATTATGAGATTCGTTTCAGAAAATTAGAAGGCAAAAAAACATTAAAAATCCTGATGGCAATATTCTTTTCGAAATGACATAGAATGCCATAAAAATATCAAAATTACTGAAATATGTAAGCAAAATAAAGGAAGAGATCATACAAAAAAGTCCATGAAGATAAGGGATCCTCACTCAAAAAGAGGGGATAACAAGAAACTCCTGCAGTCTAAATTAATCGAGCCGGTGGCAGTCACCAAAAAAGAAAGTAAAAACAATTAGCATAAAGCACTCCAGCTACATGTGATGTACTATAATCTCCAAAAAATTACAAGAGTTCCCTACTTCTGTCATTAAAAATGAAGTGTTTCCAAGTCAATGTCATGTATCTGCCACTGCTTTTTAGAGTAAAAGTTTCAGAATCATTTGACATTAGAGATTACAAAAGTTCCTACTTTTGTCATTAAAAATGAAGTGTTTCTAAGTCAATGTCATGTATGTGCCACTGCTTCTTAGAGTAAAAGTTTCAGAATCATTTGACAGTACTCCATTTCCTTAATTCAAAAGAGGGAGGATATTTTGAAGTCGAAGAAAATTTGACCCCAACCCAATGGGTTCAGATCTTCAATGAAACAGATGAATCCTCGAAGACACGAGAACAATAAGACTAAACTTTCACTTTAGTTTCTGCATTTAGCAACATAAGATTTTTTATTCAGCAAGATAATACGTCTTGATCAAAGAGACGTGATCAAACCATGATAATGTTGAGATCCTCTTGAGCAATATTCTCCAAGGAAACTTGTTTGATAGCAACAAAGTCCCCATTCTCCAAATCCAGACCCTTATAAACTCGCCCATATGCTCCTTTTCCAATCTCATCTCCAAGCATCTGCACCAAGAATTCACATTAAAACCTTTAACCACTGACCACATTAGGAATTTGAAATATTATCCACATGAACAAAGTAAACTTAAACCCTTGACTACATATTCTGATAAATAAAAGAAAGAAGAACCCCGTTGTTCGTCGGAATTTTAATTTAAACTAAAAAACCATGACTCTGCGTAATAAATTTACTTATTTTGCTTCATTAAACGTCCAGCAAGGCACCATTTCGTTCAGTGACCAAAAACGAATTTCAAAAATTAACAATTTTGAAAAGCGCAGATAACATTGCAAGGAATTAAGACGCGAAATAAAGTGAACAGCGTACCCAACACATTTCAAAATAAAATTACCGCTAATGGAACCCTGAAACAAATTAAAAATTTAGAATCCTTCTCGCTTCCGAGTACTTCATTTCGTAGCTGACCATCTCCAAAAGCCACCAGCAGGCAACATACACAGAACCACATTCAATTCCGCGCTATATCCTTACCCACATTACGAAGTTAAAGAATCGTTTTATTCATCAATCCAACTTCCAGAAAACATTATCCGCACGCAAACCAAACAAAATTTTTTTAAAAAAAGGCAACAGCAAGAAGAGCCTCATTGTAAGCAAAACCCTATTTAATTAAGAAATTAGCCATCCAGTTCCTACATACATATTTATTATCAAGCGTCTTGGACTTGTGGAACGCAGTCGTCGGAACTTGGCGAGACATGGCGGCCGAATCGGCCTCAGCCCGAGAAGGAACGGACTAGAACAAAGGGTCCATCGGAAGCAAGGGGAGTCGGCCGGAGAAGGTGAAGATTTCCGATCGGAAAACAGTGGTTGGGCGGGAGAAATGAAGAGAGAGAAAAGAGAGGAGAGAGAAAATGAGGGAGAAATTGGACGGAAAACTCGCCCCCGGAGTGGCGGAAAGATCGCGGCGAAGGTGGTGAAGTGACAATATAGATAAATATAATAAACCGACTAAGAGCACTCCAACTCACAGCCTAATGGGCACTCCCGATTCTGGTTCTCTCTTTTTTTTTCCTTTCCTTTCCTTTCCTTTTTTTAATTATAAATTGTTTTTAGTTTTGGTTCTGTGTGTAATTATTATGAAGTTCAAAACGGAAAGAAAAAAAAAGGGGGGGCTGTTTGGGGATGACGAATCATTAAACGTGATTTATAAAATATGATGAAGGGTAATAAAGGAAAAGAAATAAATATGTTAAATGGTCCCTAAAAATTAAGGTTTTTATCAACTTGGTCTCCATCTTTTAAATTTGAACCATTTGGTGTCACTATATTAAAATTTTGAAATTTGTTTAAATGTTGTTAAATTATTGTCTTATTCACATCTTCCGATTCGTGTGCATGCCACTCGGAAAAAAAAAAATAATAAATTGTGTTAATCTCGGATTTTATTGATAAATAGGTTAGATTTTATGTGTGAATTGTCAAGTAGCATTCAAGTGGCATGTTTACGTGTCTAAATATGTTAATGAAATAATGATTTAATGAGACATCAATTTTTTGTTTACTATGTATTAAAAGTTCTTGATTAGACTATCAACATCCCGCCATAGAGAAAAGATCTTGACGTATGGTCCTCTCGATCACCCTTCCCTGGTGCGTTCATGCATCTAAATATTAATAAAACAAATTATTTTAATCATACATCCTTTTTTTTTATAAATATTAACACTTTTTTTAATGACATAATTTAGAATTTTTAATACATCACATTGTAAATTTGAAATTTTAAAAGAAAGGACAAAGTACGATAAATGATGGAAATAAATATCTGAACTTATGAACTTTTAATTAAAACACGACATTTTTCTTTTAACATGTGAGAGTGAGGATTCAAACTCATGGCCTTAATTTTGGTCGGAGATAAATGTCTTAACCAGTTGAGCTATATTGATGTTTAGTTGCAGGCTTGTAGCTAAATTCTCTATGAGTGATATTTTTCACTATGTCATAAGTTATTTGACAATATAATATTGATATACATGAAGCTAGTACACGACAAATCAAAATTCACAAGGATAGAGTTAGTGCATGTAATTTTTTTTTTTTTTGAAGAAGTGATTTCATTAAATTAAGCCACATGGGCAAAATTTGAAGGGAAGTCCCTTTGAACAAGATCTAAAAGCCACGTAGGGAAATAAAACAGCCAAGCATATGTGGCAGAAGGGGAAGTGATCCCCCATTTTGCTAAACCATGGGCAGCACGATTGCATTGACGGGACGAATGGGAAAAGGAAATGAAGGCGAAGTAGCAGGTTAGGGCTTGAATCTCCATCACCCAATTTTGCTCATCTCCCCTTGTGTGTATCTCATTTCGAATCAGTTGAATTGCCAGCAAAGAATCAGATTCGACTTCTAAATGGGTGAAAAGAGTTAGTGCATGTAATTAAGTAGAGCTTTTAAATCTAAATCAAGCATAGTTGACTATATAGTTAAAAATGATCATCATTTCATATAATTCAAGTCAAAGAAGTTCTTACGTGACAAAGACATATTGCCATGTTCAAGTCACATGTTGCTTGAAGCGATCATACTCATATTTAACCAAAAAACAATGTCGGATGAAATTTTTTCCATTCTAATAATAATAACACACACCATATAATCATGATAGAAGATTAAATTTGAGTGCTAAATTGGACCAGGCTTTTGACCATTGAAGGGATGGGAATGGTGTTTTGCTTTAAAAGTTAAAAAGAACTGTCAAAAGTCTAAATTAAGGGTGATTGATTTGAAGCCATCTCAACTTTTCTTTTGCATTTTTTTAATGGAGAAAATTTTACTTTAGAAAAAGCATAAAAAAAAAAATTCAAATTTAGATTTTATACAAAAAGAAAATCATTCCTAAAATCCTCCAACATGTTAAAAAAAAATAAAATACACAAAACATGAGTATCATTTTTTTTAATACAATAAATGAGAGTGAGGATTCGAACTCACAACTCTTTGTTGGAATATGTGTCAATTAATAATAAGTTAAGCTTATGTTAGTCATGTGCACAACTTTTAAAAGTTGTCTAATTGACTGTTTTTTATTATWTTACAACTTCAGGAACTTCTCATATCCAACACTCTTCCACGCTAGATTTTATCATGTCGTTCGATTTGCGGATATCTTTCGTATGTTGAATTAGCAACTCCATATCTGAGATATAAGGTCGACATTTTTCTTGCTAACATCCCTACATCAGGTTCATCTCTTTTTCTCGAGTTAATTAAGTTGAACTTACGTCAAATTGGGAGTCCACTTATAGTATAATGAATATGTTATTGTTTTTAGTACAACAAGTGGGGGTGGGGGATCGAACTCACAACTTCTTAACTAGAGATATATGTCAATTAGCGTTGATCCATGCTCGCTTTGGCATGAATATGCTATTATAGACATTAATGCGAAAAAAAATATTAAAGCATCTAATATTTTGTTTATTTTAATAATAAAATAATATACTCAGGGTTATATTTTATGAACTGCATTTATAGTTCAACAATTTATTCAATAAATTTAACTTAAATACGATTCAAATCATCAAACCAAGTCCTGAATTCAAATCTTAACTATTATCCTAAAAAAATATATTCAAGTTGGGTACTTATTGAACAATGTTTTAATAATTGTTGAGTGTTATTTTATTAGAAAAAGAATTAGAAAAAACTATTATTTAAAGAGAAATCAGATGGGAGCCAATTTTCAAAAGAAAAAAAAAGGAGCTGGGTGAATTAGAAAAAAACCATTATGTTAAAAAAAGAAAAAAAATTCATCTATTCTCTCTGCAATATGACTACAAGAATCGTTTGGTGATATTCATGTTTATTATTTTTCATTTTTCGTTTATAAATTTTAGAAACATAAACTTTTAACAATTATTTCCATTTTTCTTTTATATTTTTAAGAAATATTTACAAAATTATGTACAAGTTTTAAAAACAACGAAATCCAATTTCTTGTTTCTTGCTTTTTTTTCATCAGATTTCTATTTTTTTCCAAAACATAAATAAAAATATTATTTCGTCATTCTCGATTTATAAAATAAAATGCATAATAACTATTTAAAAATAGAATATTTAATTAAAAATAATAATTTTCATATAACAAATTTACTTCTTTAATCTAAAATTTGAGGGAACACAAAATATATTCATATTTTTCATCAATAAAAAAAGGAAAGAACAAGAAAAGTTTTATTCGAACTAAGAAACAATAAATAGAAACGTTATCAAATGGACCAATAATTTCTCAAATTTTCTTTTTCGAAGCAACATAATTTCCCAAAGTCTTGGTCATTGCATAGAAACTTTGATAGAGTCAATATTGTCTCCTAAGTAGCCATTTAAATATCTTATTAATGCATTTCTCCAAATAATTCTTTATGGTTGTGCTTAGAAAATAAGAGAGGGGAAGATAAAAATGGAAACTTCTCTAAATATATTACCTACATAACATGCATTTGTTTTTTATGAATTAATTTGTTTTTTCCYAAGGGACAGCTCCTCCTCTACGACCTTTCGATGGGAGCACGAGATTTTTAGGTTGAAATGAGACTTAAGGAAACTTTCATTCGGATAGTAATTGGTGGAATCCATCTCAAACTTAAGGATTATCTCGTTTATCTCTTAAAATCTTTCGTCAATCTAATTCTCATTTTTTATTAGGTTGGACTCACATTTTTTAAATTATTGTTTTACAACTGTTACTACTTCTTGAGATCCATAAATTTTTAATTATTATTTTACAATTATTTATTTATTTATAGTACCAATAATCCTTCTTTATAATAAAAATTCATGGTTGATGGGGTTTTATGATGAGATATTACAATTTTCTATCTAAATGACCAATTATTTAATTATGTTGTTTTTATTAATTAGTGTCAATAAAATCGTTAAAATAAAAATTATTATTATTAAGTAATAAATTAATGTTTATATTAATATTAAAATATTATATCAATGATATTTGACATTAACGATGATTGTTCTAATAAAAATTATATTAGTCTTTTTTAGTTGATGTAATTTTTATTTTAACTATTTATTATTTATTAATATTAAATCAATTATTATAATAAAAAATATTTATCATCAATAAAATATAATAATAATTATTTTTCTTTGACACTTGTAAGTGAGCCAACTTGTTTTTAATTGAAAATAATATTAGCACAATTTTTAGTAAATACATTTATAATGAGTTAGAAATAAGAAAGTGATATAATAGTAATTGTTATATATATAATTTTTATTCGGTTTCCTCTTAATAAAAAACATCAATGAATTTCAGATTCTAATTTCACAAAATTTTCCAATAAAATAATATCCAAGAAATAACAAATGACTCTCATTCCAATTCTTAATAATTCTTAGTAATTATATGATGCGTAATAAACTTGATTTTCATTCCTCTCATTTGAATTGATTTTCATTCCAATTCTCATTAATCTCATTCCAATTCTTGGTAATTATATGATGCGTAATAAACCTGATTTTCATTCCAATTCCCGAAACAAGAACACTTATCAGTCTTGAAAGGCAATACCTTGTCAATCAAGTCTTCAACCTTGAAAAGTAGAACAGCAGCAACTTTCAACTAATCAAAAGGGTCTAATAATGTAGAGACAAGAATCCATCTTTGGTACTAATCTTAAAAATGGCAACCCATTTGGTCAAAATCACAAGAAACATTTCTGCAAACACAAAACAAAAATCACTCCCATTATCTAGTTCTAGCAAGAAAAAAATCTACAATAGTCAAATTTGGTTGATTTAATTTGATTATAATTGATTTCACAGTTGATTTTATCAACTCTAGTAAGATGGTTAGTATTAACATAGCTCCAATTCGACATCGATTTAGACTAAGGATCAAGTTGAACCAACCAGCTTTTGCACGAAATTATAATTTAATCTTCTATAGAACATGAATTAAAAGAAAACACAACTTTTACATTGCAACAATGCTTTACAACTTCTTGACTTGGGACACTAAAAAAAAAAACTATCATCAAGTGTGGAAGGTATAGCAGGTGCAAATGTTCTGACAGTAAATTCTACTGTGTTCCATACCCAATTTCCATAAGTTAGCCCAAATAATTGCAGAACATAATATCGAAACTCCTGTAACTAAGAATCGAGGAATCTGAGCTGTCATTTGCTCAATTTCAATGATGCAAAAGATGTAGCAAGATCCATTGCCTCCTTTATCTGAGATGCATCAGTTCCCTGAAGAACACAAAGCATTTCAGAAGATAAGTATGTTTCAGAAATTATAAAGATCGAAATGACACTTCAGTCTTCCTATTCCAAAAATCACGGAAGCCTCTCCCTTTGGTACTCGGTAAAATACCTGAGGCTGCACTTGATATCGATTTATTTTAAGATTTCTATTTTCATGCCTACTAAATCTCTTTAGTACGTTCTTCACCATTCTTACGAACACATTTACGTAGCTGGAATTAAGAGTTTATAAGTTAAAATTTTAAAAATTTATAAATCTGGGGGCCTTAACAATCTGCTAATAGGTCATCATTCGAAGCCCCCGCCACCCCCATTTCCCTACCTCCCCGAGGTTAAAATTAAAAAGTTCCCAAGATGTCCATAAAATAACTAATTACTCATCATGAAAATGTTTCTGATCCTATATATCTGAACCAGAGTTGAGAGACTTCCACAAGAGATACAGTAGAGGAAGCAGGTATCTAAACTTACCTGGCCCGAAGCAAGGCCACCTTTCCCCTTCCCGCACCTTCCTTTCAGAGGCTGCAAAGCTTTTGTCAACCACTCTGACACCTCTAGTTGCTTCCCTTGGCTCCCATTTAGAGGAACCCCAGCACAAACGACAGCCTTCTTTGTGGTTTCATCAGTGCTGAAAACCATCGCTGATATGCCCTGTTGATCACAAATACAAAATCAAATCCTTGTATTCTAAGAGAAGATATTCACTTGAAATCATAAATGATATCGACAAAGAAATTCTCTCTATACTACGTGTTTCACCATTGGAGGAGATGGAATATTTTCGTTGAGAACACAAGGTAGAGTGATGGAACTATCACACTAAGGGAAAGGAAATTGCAAGAGAGAAATAGTAACCATTTTTTTCACACCTCTGCTATTGAAGCACACAGTGGGGACATCAATTTTTTGAACACTCTTACTCTCATGTCTTTGCAAGTAAAATGTGAATAGGTTAGGAATATCATTAAGGTAGATTTTAGAAGTATATTTCGGATACTAAAGCTATATTAGTCATTAGCTAAAGAGTTTGTCAATAGGAGCTGGTTTTATATTGAGTGAATGAGTTTGAGGGATTTATTTTATTTATTATTATTATTATTATTTTTTTTTTAGATAAGAAACTTGTATATTCCGAAAGGAAGACAAAAGGAACAACCTAAGGGCTGGGGTAGAGGAAACCCCACCAAGAAGAACTAAACAACTGCTTTCCAATTGTACATAAGCATGAAAGGTCGTAGTTACAAAAGAATTTGCTATAGTTGATGCACCACCAAGAGGCAGTGAGCTCTACTTTTCTACAAAAAAATCTCAAACGAAGAAGACTTATCTTCGAAGACCCGAAGGTTCCTTTCCAACCAAAGGTGCCAAAGGAGAGCTCTCGAAGAACATCTCCACAAAAACTTAGCTTTTTTAGGCAGAGTCCAGCCATGCAGGGCCTCGGCCAACCAAACATCTCTATGATTAAGGAAACAAAAAGACAACCCGAAGAGATCCATGATCAAGAGCCACCCTCGAGCCGCAAACGTACAGTGAATGAAGATATGATCTATTGATTCAGTGTTGGCCATACGTAAACAACAAACAGAGGGGGAGAGCACCCAATTGCTGCATTTCTTTTGAAGCTTCTCATGAGTGTTCAAGCTTCTGTGTGCTAAGGACCACAGGAACACCTTGACCTTTCTTGGAGAGGCAAACATCCAAATAGCTTGAATGAGAGAAGATTTCAAAGGGGGAGTACATTCCACCATCTTCATACAAGCAGACCTAGTAGAAAACTTTCCACCATTGCCAATAGACCAGCCAACCCGATCTTCCCCTTCCCCTAGGCACACTGTGTCGATGGCATGGATCAGACCCATCCAACTTTCTATTTCCCAGTCAAAGAGGCCTCTTCTGAAGCTAAGATCCCAATCGTTCTCAGAATTATTCCAGCAATCGGCAATAGAAGCCCCATTTTTTGTGGAGATATTAAACAAGTTGGGTAAGGAGCTTTGGAGGGTGTTTTGTCCTATCCACTTGTCTGTCCAGAACTTGATACGATTACCTTTTCTCGCTTTGAACTCCAAGAACTTAGAGAAAAAACTACAAYTCTTCATTATATCGAACCACTCCCTTTCACTCTACCTTTGGGAGGAAGAGTGGCCCAACCATGAGCCTCCTCCCCATAAATGCTCACTATAAGCTTTCTCTRTAAAGCTTCAGGCTCTTGAGTGAACCTCCATAACCATTTTAAAAGCAAATTGTTGTTCTTTTGCTGTAGAGCTCCTATTCCAAGACCACCATAATGCATGGGGAGTCCCGTCTTACCCCAATTTACTAGATGGTTACACGAACCTTTCGAAACTCCACCATTCCAAAAGAAGTTCCTAGTCAACTGCTCAAGGTCTTTTATAACCCCCACAGGAGCTTTTAGAA